TGTTCTTGGAAAGTCCACATTTATCTATTTAGACGATATCATTATTACTAGTGATAATCTCGACCAACATATACAGGATTTAAGACAGGTGTTTTCTTTATTAAATGAGGCCGGTCTAAAAGTTAATGTCGAAAAATGCAAATTTGCAGCCCCTGAATTAAAATATTTAGGTTACAAAATATCGCAAAAAGGGATCGAGACAGATGAATCAAAAATAATCGCTGTACAAAAGTATCCGACTCCAAACACGGCAAAGAAGCTCTCTTCTTTTCTAGGACTTTGTTCATATTATAGGTCCTTTATAAAAGATTTTGCGGCTATCGCTGAGCCATTGTTAAAATTAAAAAGGAAAAAGGCAAGATTCTCGTGGACGGCCGAAGCCAATAGTGCTTTCGAAAAATTAAAACAAGCATTAACGCAAGCCCCTGTGTTGAAATTTCCTGAAAAGGATGAAAATTTAGAAATTTCAGCGGATGCTTCGGATTATGCGGTAGGAGCGGTACTTTCGCAAAATCAGCAGCCCGTGGCATTTTTTAGCCGAACTTTAAATCAAACACAAAGAAACTATTCCGCGACCGAGAGAGAGGCACTTGCAGTTCTGTTAGCAGTGCAAAAGTTCCGAGTCTATTTTGGAAAGGCGCCGATAACAGTATATTCTGATCATGCGGCGGTAACTAGATTGTACTCAGGGAAAAATTTATCCCCAAGGTTAATAAGATGGGCACTCAAGCTGCAAGAATATAATCTGGTAATCAAGCATACCCCCGGAAAGGAAAATATCGTAGCAGATGCCCTATCACGAATTAAATTAGACGAACAGGGTAATACCGTAAAAGTTGCAATGCTGACAGCGTGTACAATAAATTCCCGAGAAACTGTAATAACCGAACTGGGTAAGGATCCTGAGTTTGGAAGTATTTATGAGTATTTGAAGGATCCTGAAAATTTTAGCCACCAAGATATTGTGGCGATAAGAAATAGGGCGGCCCATTACGAACTAATAGATGGTCTATTATTTCTACACAAAAACTACGAATTCCAACAACGAATTTCGACCTGTTATCCCAGCTAGTCTTAGATTAAATATCCTGCAAGAGCTCCATGACAGCCCTTTAGCTTCTCATGCTGGTATTCGAAAAACTATCCAACGCGTACGCGAGGCAGTCTACTTTCCTGAACTGCAAAAGTTAACAAGGGCGTATGTCCAGTCCTGCCCAACATGTCAAGCCAAGTAGTAGGTTAATTATATTAATTTCCGCCCGGCCGGGTTTCTAAATAGTATTAAATCCGAATTTCCAAATGAAATAATCGGCATCGATTTATTGGGCCCTTTCCCAAAAAGTCAGTTAAATAAAAGTCGCTATCTCCTTGTTATGGTTGATCATTTTAGTAAATGGACCGAAATTGTTCCCTTAAAACGAGCCTCCGCGAAATTAGTTACTGATTCTATTTTAAATAAATATATTTTAAAATACGGGGCGCCCCTAAAAGTTATATCGGATAATGGTCCTCAATTTGTAAGTAATATATTTGAAGACATGTGCCAAAAACTGGGCATACGTCATTTAAAAAATGGTCCCGTATCGGCCGCAATCAAATATAGCGGAACGGGTCAACAGAAATATAGTGAAAATTATCCGTAGTTATGTTAAAAATTTTCATAAAAGCTGGGATAACTATGTCAATGAATTTTGGTTCGCCCTTAGGACCGCAAAACATGATACAACGGGCAAAACTCCTGCTGAGTTATTTCTAGGCAGAAAGGTTATAACACCGTTAGATAAACTATTTTATGTGCAACAAAGAGCCCCAGAATTTAAAATGGGTGATATAGAAAAACTAATAAAAGAAGCAAAAAAGAATACGGAAGTAGCACAAAGAAAACAGAAGTTATATTATGATCTGAAACGACGGGAGTGTAACTTATAAAGTAGGGGATGAAGTTTTAAAAATTAAGCATTCACTTTCTTCAGCACCAGAAGATAAAACTGCCAAATTTTTTCCACGCTTTGAAGGACCATATGTTATAGAAAAAATAACTCACGCTGTTGTAGTGTTAAAGGCAAGAAATGGTGAAACCTGTTCCGCAAATATTGGATCAAATTAAACCCTACTTCGATCGTAATAATAAAATGCAAATCTTTTCAGATCTTTTGCAGGATCCGGTACGGCAGACACCGCAGGTACAAGTTCCAGAGGTGGGAAAACGACAAGTACAAGGGCAAGCCAATGAGAGACAGAAGCAAGTGAAAAGAAAATTGCCCCGCGGAAAAACTGAAGGTAAAAAGAAAAAGAAGCCGTTCCACCGTCCAGAAAACAGAGTTCACGAACATCCCCAGAATGAAGAAGGGAGAAGGACGACGTATGTGGAAAGGACCGGGAGAAAGGACGGCAACTATAACCCGGCTGTGAAACGGAAGATTGACTCATCCGACAGAACTCTCCGCAGCAAAAGTCGCCGAACTGCGGAAGGGCCATCAGCGGCGGAGGAAAAAGTACAAGAAAAATTTGAACGGCCAACAACGAGGTCCAAGCAGGATCACGACAGAAGTTTCCCGGTTCCACCAAGACCAGCTGCCTTCAAACGGCCAAGACCACAAGCAGAGGACAGAAGGAAGATGTTCAAGGGTGGCCGTAGTGGTGAAAAACGGAAGCTTCCAGAGGAAAGCACTGAAGGTGCGAGCCCGTACAAGAAGGAGGATCAACCAAGCTACTATCAGCTATATCTTTAAAGACTGGGCCCAGAAAAGGATGTCTGAATATTACAAAGATAAGTAAAATTTTATGTTACTTTACAAACTTAAGTTAATCTTTCATTCTTACTGCAAGTGGCAGATTTCAAGAAGTTTTACCTCATGCGAGGTCTACCTTTATCGCCAAAAGGGCGAGAAATGAGTTGTGACCGATTTTCTTATTATGTTTTTCAATTACTCGCGCGTAAAACTAAAGTTGATGTATAATAGCGTTGTGTAAAGACTTAAATATTGTAAAAAGTTATTGTATAAATTTTATTTAAAACATTCTAGCAAGAAAGAAGTTTTAGTCTGAAAGACTTTTTGAAATGTAGTATTATTTCAATGTAGAAAGAATTGGCACTTGCTTTGAAAAGAATAGAAGTTAACAATGCACTACTAATGTATGTTTTCAAATGTGTAAAATTAACGGCATGTTGATATGTTCTTGTATACATGTGAACTGTTATTTTGAATGTTAAGAAATACCGTGATATGGTAAAAGTGATAGTAATGTTAAAAATTTGTTATTCGTGTGACTGTAAAGATTAAATCATGACGAATATATGTTAAAGGTTGAATGATGTAGTTAGGCTCTCTGACGCTACACTTTAGAGTTAGCCACTTTCAGAATAGTACCTCAGGGTCTAGAGTTGAAATTAGGGTGTGTTAAGAGGTCTCGTATGTTGAATTTTAACACGTTAGTGTTTTGATTGTAGGAGGAAGTGTGGCACACGTAGACAGAAACACATTCGTGGTTGGTGTTCTTTTACAACACATGTCAGAGAGCACGGGGAGAGATAATTAAAATAGTCATGAATGAAATAAGAATGTTAAGAAAAGTATATTCTATATGTTATTTGCAATGTCATTCTGTAACATTTCATTAAACTAGTTTTCCTTCCAGATCTCTGGAAGGAACCAGAATTGAATAAAGCTCCTGTTTAGATGCAGTACAGATGAAAAAGAAAAAAAAGATTGTTGTATATCCCGGGAGCTGCTATTGTAACAAATTTCTTTCTTTTAAATTTTCTAGTTTCTAGCGAAGCATTTTTTTTTTTTTTTTTGTAAAAGGTTGGCCTCGCGTTAGATTTTAGAGCTAAAAGTTTTCAACAAGGTCGTTTTAGACCTCAGTTTCAAACTAATTAACTCTGGCGGGAAGTATGTAAGGATCTTAAGTTTTACTAACGTTTATTTTATTTTAAATCTTTACTATCACTTCTTATTTTCTACTTCCGGCCAGAATTATAAGCGTGAAGGATTTTATGCAAAGTTTGTCTGGCGAACGCCAAGTATTTAAGTGTGGCCTTTTTGCCAAGCAGGAGAGAGGAAGCAGTGAGTTCGAAGCAGGCCGCTTACCTTAGAAGTTACGCAGTTGCTATTTGCCTTCCAGGCCAGAGGTTTTAATCCTCTTGATAAATTAAACGTATTGTAGTGTTCACAGTCTCTGTGCTACATACGCTTCCTGTTATTATAAGGCCAATCTTATTCTAAAGTTAAATTAGAGTTTAGTTTTATTTTGATATCTTTTACGTTAGACCCCGAGTGGAGGGTCATTGTATTCCGAAGTACGGAAGTCATTGTATATAAAGAAAAATAAAGGGTTTTGTATACCCTTCGTCTGTATCCTGTCTACTTACTACAATTAGTGAACATAGCTTTAGTAAGCTCTCTGTTCTAGTCAGGTCATTGTATGTTTCCGAAGAAGGTAAGAAGAAACATTGAACCTGATAAGCTGAATAGCAGGATCAGTGAAATTCATTAAAACGCTGATTTTTGTTGTTGTTTGACTTCTAAATTAATATTTGCTCGGCGTGTTATTTTAAGCTAAATGGTAAGAATGATTAAGGGGGCTCATACACCTTAAACCCCTTATAATCTTCGAATATGTGACTGTTACAAGAGTTGGGATAGATATTTTATTTGTTTTAAAAGCAATTACTTCCAACTTTTTACAGCTGACTATATAATATAGCTGCTTTGGGAACTAATAACTAGAAAGTTTGTGTTGCCACAAATAGTTTTGTAATTTAATCTGCTTTGTGGCAAAATGTTTCGTCATGTTTCCACCTTGCACGCATGATATATTTAAAAAATGGCTAGTGGTACATACTTGAAAGTTGATGGAATTCTTTATATGGGCACTATTTTCTAACTGAACCCCAAATCTGATGAACATTTTAATATTAAGAAATTTTATGTACGAAAACATTAGAGATTTTTTTAAAGAATATCTTTTATAAATTAAACTCCAAATAAAATAAAAAATTATCATGAAATTCGCAGAATTTTTGGTTCACAGTAGTTTTCAAATATTATAAAAGCTATGTATTAAATATGGAATTCAATTATGCAGCAGAATGTTTTAAACTGTGTGCGCAAGGTGGAAACACAACGAAATATTTTGTAAAGGCATATGAATAATTGTACTTATATGATCTATTCCATTTAGTCAATTTTTTTTTCTTGATGTTCTTTTTCTTGCAGCACTTTTAACCGTATCATCAGCTACGGGGGACCTACATACGAATGGCTCCCTCGATTACGAAACGGCTAATTATCACGAATGGAATGCGAGCTGTGAAGTTGCAACAAGTAATGGAAGTGACACATTTTACTCACGCATCCGATTATTTGTTTTGGACGTCGATGATAATCCGCCGTACGTGCAAGACAGTACAAGTATGCTGCAGGATGTGGATGTATCGCAAATTATACCCGTAAGGAATTTAATCTTACTATTAAACAGTTCTTTAATATTAAACCTATGACTGCTATTACACTCAAACCTGGTTTTGTCCGGTGGATAGAGACCGAAAAAAAAAAAAAAAAACGCATAAGAAAAATCGCACAAACCTTCACGAGTAGCTATAAAAAATAGTTTTCGCTACACAATTAATTGGTACTTTTTTATGCACCATAAAAGTACCACATAAAAATAGTCGGCATCAGCCCAGAAGGCGACTATTAATTTCGCTTTGGCATTTAATGTCGAATCACTATACTCACTTTTAGACAACAACAAATGCAGAGGCTCGGACAAGCGGAAGGGAGAATATCCCCGGAGGGCGCTTTTGGTCAGTGGAACCGTCCTTGGGATACACCGGGCGCTGGATTTCGGCGCCTCGCGTGGCCGTCAAGTTCGACTAAAGATACTGGTGGACGTGGCGCTTCACCAATTAACCATATAGTAAAGGGGTGGTGCCCACGTCTCCGTCGCATGTCGCATGTCGCATACTCACTTTTAGAGTTTCATTTTTCAAATTGGTCCCACCAAATGTTAGAAACTTCCACTATATTTGAAGAAATTAAATAATGAAGAATCTGCATAAATGTATGTATGTTTCTCGCATTGTGATGAAACAACGGTACCTAGAGTCATCCAATTTTGAATAACGTAATCCACCACCCGAACATGGGTATCTAAGAGCCCTAATTTTGAATTTGTTTTTTTATCTATTTCATATTTTGTAAAACTTTAACAATTCTTTTTATTAGAATGATTTCAGAGCGAGCAGTAGTAACACTGTGCAGAAAAACACATTTTTATCTCCAGCCCGCGAGACTGTGTGTCGGAAATTCTAAAGATATCCTCTTTTGAAATTATTTTGGGATATTGCTGCTAAATTGAATTTTATGGTTTGAGTGTGAAGAACATGATATATAATAAATAAAGATAACACACAAAACGTCAAAAAAAGCCCCAATAGACGTAATATAAGATCTGAAAATTTTCAGCCTTTTTTTTTTTTTTTTTTTTTTTTTTTTTCCTGTACTACATTATTATCATAATAAAAGCATTACATATTTGCATTCTGTTCTACAAATTTCAGTATCTACTATTAAAATGTGTTTCATATTGAAAGCGACAAAAGAATAGCACAATGAAAAAGAAAGAATAGCTATTCTGTCAATTGGTTTATCAAGCTGAAACAAATTAATTCCGAAACTGTAATTACACATGTTTTATCTGGAAACAGCGAAAAATCTTCCGGTTACAAAACTCGCCGCCATTGGCATTGTTAATCAAAATGGCGCGGACAAGAGCTGCTTGTGTAAGGAAACCAACCCAGGACGAACAGAAGTCAACACCGAAATGGTTGAAAACATTCGTGAAACATTTTTACGAAGTCCCACAAAATCGTGAAGATCTGGACTCAATGCTCCTCATGTAACGGTGTGGCGTGTATTACGAAAATGCCTAAAATTCCAACCAAACACCTTTCAGATGTTGCAGGGTTTAAAACCTCCTGACAAACCATTGCGCGTTCAAGGTAATCTGGAAGTAGATGGTTCCGCCAACAGATCTGTGTTTACGGATGAAGCAAGTTTTCGCATTTCTGCGAATGTTAATCTTCATGATTTAAGGTTCTAACACGTGGAAACCACATGGTCTAATGGTGCAAGAGCATGAGTCTCCAAAGGTAAACGTTTGTTGCGATATTTCCAAGAGTTGCATTTTTGTTCTTTGTTTTCGGAGAAACATCGATTGGCGGATACATTTACCAACATCAATGCTATCAATGCGGTTGTTCCCTCAGTTGGTGGAAGCGATTCCCTGTTTCATTCTGTAGCAAGACAGTGCTCCGCTACCTTTGCATAAAAGCGTAGTCTATCCCATCGCTGAACTGGCTGTGCTGGGTCAAACGATATACAATTGTTTTGTTCGCAACCGAGTTCCCCAGGTCTATTTATTTCCTTGTGATATTTTGCTGTGGTGTTTTGTTAAAGTCAAAGTATTCGTGCTTCAATTCCCCAAGACTTACAGCAATTGAGATTGTGGATAACTGAGGTTATAAGGTATTCCTCCCGCCTTCTTAGCATGCCTTCGTAGTGTACTGGTCAGCACGTTCGGCGCGTGTTCGAGAAGTCAGTGGTTCGAGTCCTGGAGAAGGCAGTGCTAATTTTTCATCTCTCCTGCTTTGGCCTAACCGTCAGATTGCTAGGTAACGACTAGGATGACTTCCTAACCCTGTAGTGCCATTAACTTAGTTTGGCGGAACAGGTTAAGTAAAGTGACCATATCTCTCCTGCTCTCAACGATTATCTAATGTCTGTACAGTGGTGCCCGAACTAAAATATGGTGAATGATGAATCTTCACCACCAGGATTTGGTGATTGGGTCCCCTAAAACTCCAGTCGCCCTTTAAAAGAGGAAGTATGTAAAGTATTTCTCCCTTCTTAGCATACCTTCGTACTGTAGCGGTCAGCACCCTCGGCACGTATTTGAGAGGCTCGTGGTTCGAGTCCCGGCGAAGGCGTTGCTCATTTCTCATCTCTCCTGCTTCGAAATAACCTAACCTTCGAAATAACAGTGTTCAAATCATTAACAAAGGATATTCTATCAACTGCAGAGATATTTAGCGTGTCATTGGTATGTGTGTGATTATGGCAAAGCTTCGAGGGCTATCTGCCTAAGGGGAGGGATGCCTTGGTGGAGGACTTGCTAAGGGAAACTGCCTCGTATATACGTTACACATGAGGAAAACCACGAAAACTCCCATGCAGCCAGCCCGTTCGCAGGATTCGAACTTCGAACCGAACTACCAGGGGCGTGTCATTGGAGAGCCACATATAAAACATCTATAGAACTTGGATAACTATAGTTTCAATGTAAATTTGATTTAGCAAAACAAAGTCATTGCAGTGTTCACAGGTATACTATCTTTTTGTTCTATTGTATATGATATACACTGCAAATGCACTGCAGAGACATTGGGACTTTTTTTGGAAGCAGGAGACTTAAAGAAATGAGCAATGCTTTCGCGGAACTCGAGCCACGCACCTCTCGAATGCGCTCCGAGTGTGCTGACTACTACACCACGAAGACGCACTACGGAAGCGGGAGGAATACCTTATAGTGGTAATCCTTTAATGTATATATTGCTCGATTCTAAGAAATATATGACTATACAGACAGTAGCTTATGTTTTTAGTTCAAAGGAGCTTTGTCCCTGAGGGACTATTGTTTTCGTTTTGCGATTTTGCGTCGAATTACTCTGAATGTCCGTTTCACTTTTCAAACTGTTGCCACCTAATATTATCACCCTGTATTATATTTGAAGAAATAAATAATGAAGAATCTGCATAAATGTGTGTATGTTTCTCGCAATGTGATAAAATAGCGGCACCTAGAAACAGCGAATTTTGAATGACGTAATCCTACTGCAAATTTGGGCATTTGGAAGCCCAAATTTGGAATTTGGAATTTATTTTATTATCGATTTCATATTTTGTAAAAACGTAACGAATTTTCAACTAACAAACTCAAGTATTTCAAAGCGAGCGATGGCAACATTGTATACAAACAGCATTTTTATCTCCAGCGCGTGAGACTGCGTATCAGAAATTCTAAAGATATGCTTAATTTAAAATTATTTTGCGATATTGCTCTTGAACTGAATTTTATGGTTTAAGAGCGAAGAACATGATATTTAATAAATAAATGTAGCGTACAAAATGTTAAAAAAATGCGTCTTTGGACGTAATTTAAAATCTGAAAACTTTCAGATTTTTTTTTTTTTTTTTTTTTTTTTTTTTTTTTTTTTTTTTTTTTTTTTTTGTTTATTGTTTTGTTTTGACGGAATTTGGAACAAGCCTGGTTAATTTAGCAATATTACGCTTAACTATCAGTAACGGAATTTAACAGGGTGAAGCTATGTCATTATAATGACAGGTCGTGAAGCTGATTCTCTTTAAATACTAGTTAATCAGTACATTTATGTAATGGTGTGTTGTATAATGATTAGTTAATGGTTTCGTTTTATTACAGGGTGAACCTCTGCCGACACAGCTGACTGTCTTGGATGCCGATTCAGCCTCAGTTAATGTAATTGTAGTAAACATGTCTGACCCACTCGGCCTGTTCCATCTGCGAGATCCTGTAATCTTTCATGGCATCAATGGAACACAGATGCTCATTAATACAGGTTAATCACCTATTAATTATTTTGTGCAAACTTTAGATATCTCTGTTAGTGGTATCATCATTTTATGCCTTGCACATTCTTGAAAAATGAAATGTGACGTATTATAAAGACTTCGCTAATTGGCGTAAATAGAAATGCGGGTAGTTTACTATATTTATTTTCAAGCTATCTGATATTTTATATATTATGTTGCACTTTGGAAAACATGAATGCTTTGATTAATATTGTGACTGTTGTTGCTGTGTTGTCGTCAGCATATTTATCCTTCTCTGTCCTCTTACTCTTTATCATGATTATCATTTTCTTAAAAAAACCAAGTTTATTTAAAGCATTTAAAAATACATAAATGTTTCAATAAATTCGGGGATTAAATTTATTAGTCTAAAAAGCTATTATTTTCGAAGCACGATCTTGCGTCGTCCACTATAAATGCATTATTTCACTTTACTTTAATGCCTGTTGCCAATCCGCATAATGCAAATCATTTATTTTTCACATTCATTCTGACTGTTATCGATCAAAACGTAAGCTATTTAGAAGCAAAAAATGCAGCTACTAAAAATATTATTTTTTACCTCTTAATCTGATTGACTGAAATAAAATGCTTTTAATTTCAGTCAAACATTTTCTAGTCAGTATCGAAAAACAAACATTAAATATTTGTATATAAATATGTTTTATTATATTTTTTCCCTTTCCGAATATGCAGAGGACATAGAACGTGTATCTAAATGTATTTCCATCCGGCATCCTATAAAATGTTTCGCTATTCCAACTAGCATTTCTCTATAAATAACGTTCACTGAGAATTCCTATTAAACTTTAAAAGAGCCTTTTAGGTGGCCGTTAATATCTGAAAAGGTTCAGGTTTCGTTTATTAATGTTCTTTTTTTTGTTGTTGCCATCGTCTTAATTATAATATAGTTAAGTTATCATCATCGTACATTATCCTCATCATCATTTCCATTATTAGACCAAAAGAAACTTTAGCCTCAAATAAGAGATTAGTCTCGAAACGGCAACTTGCGTTGAATCACTATGAACGGAGTATCACTTTTCAAATCGTTGCCACCAAATATTATCGCCCTTTATTATATTTAAAGAAAATAAACAATGAAGAATCTGCATCAGTATAATATGCAGGTTTTTTGCGTCGTGAAAAAACGACTAAAGCCATTAAATTTTGAGTAACGTAGTCCTCCACAGGAACATGTGCACTTCGAAGCCAAAACTTTGAATTTCGGATTTGTTTATTATCTGTCTTGTATATTGTAAACTTTTGATGAATTTTTGATTAACAACTCAACGATTTCAAAGCGGGCAGTGATAACACTGAACGGAAAAAAAAAAATATTTTTACCTCCAGCGCGCGACACTCTCTGTCGGAAATTCTAAAGATATGCTAGTATTAAATATTCTGAGATTTTCCTCCTGGATCTAATTTTATGTGTAAGCGCCAAGAAAGTGATATTTAATAAAATAACGTAAACACATAAAATACTAATAATCAATATTAATAAAGTCATCTTAGTAATAAACCTGAACATTTATATGATAAAATGAGAAAATAAAAAAAAAATCTGATGTGTACACCACATGACTTCCTTGTACGAAATATTAAATTACACGCATTTTTTCCTGCATTTCATTTAAACCTATTGGATTCAATTAAATCTACTTCGCCGAGAGCGCATAAACTACAATAGAATAAATGCATTCTTTAAAATTGACTCTATTTCTTTACCATAGCGATACTCTGGCGCTAGGCTCACTTAACAGTATTATATTTCGTTCATATTATAACTCAGAATGCACAAAATTTATATCATTTAAAGAATTATCTAATCGTTGTCGCATGTTCTATTCAAATACTATCATAAAGCTAGAACAATGTATAAAAGAAATTAAGCAAACAAGACAAAAAGTAAAATCTTTTCCACAGATAATTGAGTATTTCGCATTCAGTTAATTCCGTTCTTAAAAAAATCAGTTAATTCAGTTAAATTTTAAACATTTATTTCCTCGAAAAAATTCCAGAAAGGATTAAGCGCGATTTAATTCGCAATAATAAATGAAGGCGTTATCTTTGTGGTTGCGAAGCTAAGTTTCTCTAGATTGGCAACAAATCCACTATTCTGCTGTTTCAAATGTTTTCAAATGTTTCAAACAAGCAATGGCCGTCATCCAAAAAATTATTAGGCTTAGCGGCACTTAAACAACTTTTAAATTGTTGATCATTCTAAAAATATTGCATACAGATTTACTAAAGGCATACAAATCTTAACCGGAAGATAAGAACAAAATAATTCAATCATTTTTAAAGCAAAAAATGCACAATTACAAACATATAAGAGTAAAGAAACTGAGATCACTGAGCCAGGTAACAGAGTGGATATATATATAAATATATTTATATACGTTTGGCGCGGCCGATTGCAACCAAAATACGAGGTGCACATCTACATGTTATAGCAGTCCTATATACAAACTTTCAACGTCTGAGGCTACTCGTTTTTGAGTTATGCGAGATACGTACATACGTTCGTACAGACACCACGAAAAATTCTCTTTAGAATTCATTTTAAAGCAGTTTTATAATCTTTTTGGAGGAAAACAGTCTTTTATTCTGTTCTTACGTACAGATATCACGCAAAAATATCGTTAAAATGCATTCGATAGCGGTCAAACTGGATATTTTCGTTGAAATATGCTGCCTGAAACTTTTCGCGATTACAATACTTTCTTTTTACTGCATACAAGGAAGTAAAAAAATAGAAGACACTTAATGTTTCATCGGGAGTTGTAATCATATAGTGCTATGCTGCTTTTAAAATTCCTGTAATTTCGCTGTTGAATTGTATATCGCTTCGTGAACAAAATTCATGGTTGCGGGCACCTGGGAAGATTCCCTATCCCAATGTAACAAGTAGGTAATTTTTCGAATATTAAGTAGCATACTGAGAGTCTTAAGCAATAGTACTGTAATAGGAAGAATTGTTTTTCGGCAAATCTGTAGCAGTAAATAGCAGTTTGTTGAAAGTTCGTAAAAATGCAATAAGGCGACATATGAAACACATAACTAATGTTGAACCGCTATATCCTGCGTAGTTACTCTGCGATCAGATGTGTAGGCATCAGCGATGGAGTGCAGCAGCTTAGTGGATAGTCAAGAATGTCAGCTGCTTAGTGAATAGTCAGGAATGTCAGCAGCTTAGTGGATAGTCAGAAATGTCAGTAGCTTAGCGGATACTCAAGAATGTCAGCAGCTTAGTGGATAGTCAGGAATGTCAGCAGCTTAGTGGATAGTCAGGAATGTCAGCAGCTTAGTGGATAGTCAGGAGTAGGTGGTAATCTTCACCAAAATCCAGGAGAGAAGCTGATAGGCTAAGGTTCCAGTTTGTGTGCTAGGGAGAGGGGCTGAAGGCTCTTTTCAATCCATACGAATTTAGAGGGGCGGCCGAATAGTAAAGAGGAGGAGGAGTTAATTTAATATCAGAACTTGCTGAACTAGAAAAATATTTTACGATTTTCATAGCATGACTTAAATACATTGAAGAGAATTTGAACTTTAGCTTTTCACTGCTCTACACTAAGATAATATGAGAGACATTTTTTTTTATTGTATGTGAGGTAAATGAGAAGAAAATGATGCCTAACATAAAGTTAAAAGAGAAAAGAATTGGATTAGTAGGAGTGAGTTAGTAGGAGGTTATTGCGAGTTCAACGAGAGCGGAAGACAGTTTAACAAACTCTTTTCGGTGAGCGTTAAAATTTCAGATTAATCGTTAGTCTCGAAGCGGCATTTTGCATCGAATCACTCTAAGCGTCTGTATCACTTTACAACTTGTTGCCACTAAACATTATCGACCTGTATTATATTTAAAGAATGTAAATAATGAACAATCTATTTCTGACACCAGTTGTTACGTTACTTTCTTCCTTCACGTTCGTACGGGGTTCGTAGATTTGGAATGAATAACGACGACACTTGATGAAGTATCGAAACACACTTTATTTAGCCAATATTAATCAGGACAGCTCTAATAATACTTTTTACAGTCATCGATGAATTACTATAAACACGCTGACACGATCAGCGACACAGCCTCCAGGCTATCAGGCTATCACGGTGGAGACAGCTTCACTGCAAAGCACCAAAGTACAGCTCCCGACTCTGCTTGGTCGTTCTCCGAACTCCCCGTACTCTCGGGGCTCTCCACGCTACAACTCGCGATGCATTCGACGACACACAGAGCACGGCTTCCGACTCTTCGGTTCAGTCGTTCTCGGAGCTCAACCCGCTCTCTCGACGATGCACTAACCGCGATAAACTTTCGGTGCACTCGACGACCCACTGGGCACTCGCTGCCCGCCTGTCAACTCGATCCACTCAGCAGGGATTGACTCACTAGACGAGACACCATCTCGATACTAACTCTCTCGCACTCCAGACGAGCCACTCTCACTCGCCATCTCGGTGAAGCACACTCGATACTCACTGACTGCGGACCAGCAGGGTTTATATAGCTTTCAGCTTGTGTTCGAGAACATTCTGGGCTAAACCGATAAGTATTCGTTCCAGAAGATTCTCCATCCGTCCATGGTATATCGCCAATTTTGTATCCAAATGTCGCCAAATGGACGATTTCTCGCCAAATGTGGCAATTCTGCTCTCCCTTGCCATTTTATGGCAACCCTAAAACTGCTTTGTGGGGAGGCCATCTTACCGCTCGTGTACATTTCGTAACAGTATGTTTCTCAGATTGTGAAACAACAACGATACTTAGATCTATCAAATTCTTAATAACGTATTCCCCCACCCGAATATGGGCTCCTGGAAGCCAGAATTTCGAATTTGTTTTATTTTAAATTTCCATATTTTTTAAACTTAAGAAAATTTCTGATTAACAATCGCCACGATTTCAATGCGAGCAGTGCCAATACACTGTAGGAATAAAATGTTTTTATCTTCATGATTTATGGATCTAGGGACTATGGATACAGGGAGATAGTATTTGGTGGCAACAATCTGAAAAGTGGTACGTCGTCAACGCAAAATGTGGTTTCGAGACTAATAGCCCTTCTGAGCTAACGTCCCTTTGGAGCTAACGCCGTATTTCTATGAGCTAACGCCAATAGAAATACGCCAAGAAGTCTCGCAAACGCAAGAAAGGAATATACTTAAAAAATCAATTTCCGTTAATTATTTGTACTTTTTTCAGTTTTTTTAAGTGCCAGTTGCATTTATTGTGATGTTGTATAAAAAATAATTTTTCAAATACATGTCTCGAAAATTTAGTTAAAGGCATTGAATACGCATATTTTCAAATTATATCTGAAAAATTAATATCTTATTTAAAACCAGTAGTAAATACATGTTGATTTTTTATATGAATATCTTCTTTTCACAATTTTTCACGAAACAAATTTTTTCATTTCAATAGCCCTCGTTCCGAAGATGCCTTTTCATTTTCCTGATCCGTCGTATAACGTAACTGTGACCTTTGAAGACACAAGTCTTATAGGTGATGTTGAGGTAATCAAAAATTTTCTCTCTTCATTGAATTTCATGAAAGCTAATAAATAACACTTTAACTAGAATACACTATAATTAAATCATATGCTTCAACAAAATCTGTATAAAAATAACACTGTGGGGAAAATTGCGCGATAGGAGCAGCATCGTAAGACAGAAACAACAAGGTCAAAATCATGCAGTTTCAGAATGAAAAAAACTTCGTGTGCTTAAACTTCAAAATGTAATTTATAAAGCGTTCTGGTGATAAAAAAGCAATACAACATTTAAAAATTATAGGCTATATGCATCTGTGATAATTTTAGGATTAAGTTTTATTTTTGCAAAATTTCGAAGTTGTGAAATTCGGACTTTTAAAACTTGTATTGTGCAAACGTCGACTTAAACCTCTCCTTAGACTTTGGAAAGCTGTTTAAAAGAGTAATCGAATGGAATATTTCTTCGCATACTACAACTGACTATTGTGTTGGAAATTAAGGAGTAGAAAAATAGTGAATAAAAAATGTTATCAAGTCGAACTTTTAAAACACAAAATAGTTACATAAAATATTTCTGTACACACAATGAAAAAATCGTCCAAAATTGTGGGAGCAGCCTCTTATGTTGGCAGAATATATTACAAACTAGTTATCCGAAAATGTTTATTGCTGTCCGCTTGCACAAAAAAGCTGATTTACCCAAAAGGGTTCTTGTCTTCTCCATATTACATGGAGCAGTGGTTGCCAGACCCTATTCCAAAGAGAGGTTGGACATCTATTTTGCACCCTCTTGTTTTGAGCGAAAGCACACCGACGGGGTATCTGGGGAGCTTCCACCCTGTCCCCTTCCAACAATCCACACGAGGGGACTTTCGATTCGCCGCACATTTGGAGAGCCGCCATGCCGCACCGACCAGGGAGGTAGGAAGTTAGATGGAGTGGCCCCAAACCGGTTTTCCCCATATCCTGCTTTGAAGCGCTTTCGATCCCTTCGCTGGTGAACCAAAACATTGGGCAATTTACCATTAAGTTCAATGGGTTTTGACACGATCGGATGTAAATATTTTGTAATTATGTCGTAAATATGCATATAAATGTATATATTTTCTTTTTCTGCAATACTTCAGAGTCAAACTGAATGAAAAGAATACATTTCCAAAGAACATTTTATTCTGAACGGAATTAAATGCTATATTTTTCACAGAACAGCTTGCTTAGAATGGTTTAATTTGAATGAAATATTTTCACAAGTTTTCGTTAATTACATTAGAAAGAAATTTTAAGGTAATTCGATTTTATTCGGTTAAGGATTACAAAAATTAAGATCAAAGTTTATTGTATTATTAATATTAAAATTATGCATTATTTCTCTTCTATTTATAGAGCTTATTCCTAAAATACCTTCTCAAATATGACATGATTTTTTAGCTTCTGAGGCATCTTTTAAATCGAAAAATCTAAGTCAATTTATAATTAATGCTCTATTCGGTCCATTTCAAATTAGAGCACCTTTTATTGTAATAGTGAAAATACGTTAAATAGTAGCACTTAACTTTCTCTGAATATTTCTGAAAAAGAACAAAAAAAAAAAAAAAAAAAAGGATTTTTTTTAAATATTATTTAAAACTTGTAATTGAGTTATTATAAAATGTAAGGGGAATAATTCTTTTAATTATACTTATCAGATTTTTTTACCCTTAATTTCAACACTACATATCGTAAAACTCTTCTTTACTACTTTCTTAACGTACGCATCTCATAGAGCAGTGCTCCGCAACCGGTGTGCCATGAGTAGGATATAGGTGTGCCGCAATCCAATACATGTATTTGACATTTTGCAATTTTTTATCATGTAATTAATACACAATGACAATTTTTTCCTTAATAATGTCTATTTTAAATGTTTTTATATATTTCACTGTTGTGTGGTTGTGTGTGTGATTGTAAGTGTGTCAGCATTTGAATATAAAACTTTTGTGTTCATTGAAGCAAGCGCAGGTATCACATTGATAATTATTATGATTGCATATAAATAAATATGTTATGGTTTTATAATTGTATATTTTTCAAATTAAAAACAAAACAGTCTGCTTTCCAGTACGAACAATTCTTGCTTAAATAATAAAATTATGCATTATTTATTATTTAAGCAAGAATTTAAATAATTAAGACACAATAACACGCCGAATAAATACTAATTCAGAAGTCAAACAACAAAAATCAGCGTTATACCTACAAAATTTTCACAGGACTAGTTTCGATGGTTTTACCGAACCATCATCTTCAGCTGCAAAACCGCAAATTTTGCAACCATTTGCGGTTTTAGTAGTTATAGTAATGCCTAAATCTAAACAAACATCAGGCCTTGTGGCATCATCTTTGTGGGAAGAGTTAATGGTCATACTTATCTGGGCCACCTCTGGCCATGTTCAAGCGATTGCTCTTGCAGCGTGCTGCTTGCGTATATGAGGTGTGATACAAAAAAAAACGAGACGAGGTAAAATGGGTTTCCTTTAAGTAAGATTTAACTTTACGAAATAAAGAAGTCGCATGGACAACAATATTGGCATTCCCTGTTTCGTGAATCATTTATCACACTACAGGACCCCCAATCCTTAGAACCAGGCGCGGAAGCTCAACCTCCGCTCTGGCCCCTCAGAGAGGGAGGCGCACCGCCCAGGTAGTCATCCGGCACGGCACTGGTCGTTATTTGCTACCTACCAGTCGCACGGGCTGCCCGTCGCAGCGGGTCATTACCCAGCGTACCCGGAGGAAACCCCACGGGCTACTAATTCCACGCCGCGCTAGGACGTGCCAGACCCCGAAGCCGGCCAATGAGTGACCTTTCCCGGAGCCTTCAGAACCACCAAGTTCATAAATTTTATACCCCCGTGGCCGAGACTGCCTAGGTACAGATAATAGCCAGTAGCCTCGCAGAATTCTCTACGTCGACCCCCATGGGGGAGTCGCGTGGTGCCAAATCAGATGAATACGAAGAATACCCCATCACAGTTATAAGGTATTTCTCCCGCCATTCTACCGAGCATACGTAGTGTGGTGGCTTGCACACTGGGTCGGTGTTCTAGAGGTCCGTGGTTTGATACCCGGCGAAGGCGATTGCTAATATTTCGTCTTGCCTACTTCCAAAAAAATGGCTAATGTCTCTACACAGAAATGTTTTTGTTGGTCAGAAACTGCTTGACAGATAGGGCCGTGTGAGCGGTTGCATCATGTTGGTGCAACAGCCATCCATCGTTCCACAACTGTGGCGTTTTTATTTCAGAATTGTTTCACGAATTCGTTTTACTACTTCAATGTAGTAGTACTGATTAACAGTCTGACCACTGGAAACCCATCCGCACTGTCTCTTCTCTCTGAAAACCGCTTATGCCATTCAACCACACGTGCATGAGACAAAATTTTCATTCAAACACACGTGCATGAGACAAAATTTCCTCTCCATAAACCTCGGTTAACATTTGAAATACTTCCTCCGTGGCAAATGTTTTAAGTTTCACAAGAAATTTTGATGTTGAGTCGCTGTTTGGTTTTTTTATATTACACATTGTTCCGGCAGAATGCAGTTGCACGTGTTCACTCAACGACGCAATACTCCCCCACTGGCATGGTCGATTAAGTCGAAACCGGCCGCAGGGATATAGGTGGTGTGTGGCATGACGCCACCAAAACAGTTGTTGCCAACTCCGCACTGTTTACAAGCTACACACTTAGTCTCGTTTTTTTGTGTGTGTCACACCTCGTATGCAACCCGGAAAGATTCGCGTTTCATTCTTGTACACGAAGACTCGCATGGACGATGTCTGACCACCCCCGTCAATACATCCTTTAGTCCTTTGACTATTAATGGCGTATACATGCCCCACTAAAAGTTTAAAAATTATTACTAGGTTAAAAGGTACTTCGAATCTCCTGAATGTTGAGGATCATGTCCCAATAGTTGAAAAATCAAGACGCCGCTATGCTCGTTGTACACAAATGAACATAGAGAACAGTGGCGTAGCGAGAGGGAGGCAAGGGGGTACAAATAGTACAAATAGGGCACAGCCCCATCCACCTAATCGACAAGATTTTATGACAAACAAGGGCTGCGCCAAGCAAAAACAATATATATATATATATATATATAATATATATAAAAAATACATAATTATACATGAAATTACATATTACATGAAATACATATAAAATACATAATTATAAAAACGCATAAAATACACCACATAACGCACTGAATAAAATTATGTTAAAATTCCATATAAACACCAATATCTCAATTTAAATTATTGTAACACAAAATTTAAAAACAAACTTTTATCAAATAAAAATACCAACATCAGAGCGATTATTATTTAAAAAACACATAAGTTCCCTTGCAAATTTAAATTCTTTTTCAGCACCTGTAAAAATCTTAATAAAATTATATTTTTTTCGTATGTCATAAGTAAGTGTACATTCTTCCACATAGTGCCTTACCGATCCGACAACTCCACAATTATGACAATATTCATTCTCTTGTATGCCAAATCTTTTAAGATACACCGGGAAGCGCCCATGTCCAGTAACGATTTGATTAAAATCCAAATGACAAGAAATACTTTTATTAAACATAGGTTTTAAATAATAGGCATATTCTTTTCTTCTATTCGAATTATTCCAATTATCATACCACAAATCAATATAATACTGTTTGATTCTAGTAATAACCATTTTTCTTGAAGGCTGGACAACGGAACACTCCCCGGAAAACATCCAAAGTCGCCTCTTTGGCCAACACGTCGGCCCTCTCGTTACCTTCAATACCCACATGGGACTTAACCCATCTAAATTTAATATCATGCAAACCTTCAATTTCTTTATATAAACACTTAATATCCATAACTAAAGAGTTATTACAATCGTAGCTTTTCAAAGCCTGTAATCCAGATAAACAATCACTATAAACTACAATACTATAACTCTTAGATAGGTTTTTCTAATCCATTTCATAGCAAAATAAATAGC